CCATTTTCAAATTCTTTCTTTCCCTCACATAGAACTCATAGAAGTTGGAGTCACCCAGTCCCCCAAATATAAGATTACAGAGAAAAGACAGGTGGCAGCTTTTTGGTGTGATACTATTTCTGGCCATATTACCCTTTAATGGTACTGGCAGACCCCAGACAGGGCCTGGAGCTTCTGATGCACTCTGAGAATGAGGCTGTACTATGTGATTCACAGTTGCCAAAGGATCACTTTTCTACAGAGAGGCCTAAAGGATTAGACTCCACTTTCAAAATCCGGCCTGTAGAGCTGGAAGACTCAGCCATGTATTTCTGCACCAGCAGATTAACCACAGCATTGCAGAGACACTTCCCCCCAGTGCACAGACTGTGTGGTTCTATTCTTTATACTCAGCTCACAGCTGCACTTAACAGAGGCCTCGCCTTATTCCTCATCATGCAAGGAAAAGAAGTGGGTTTGCAGATATAAGCTTCAATTCATATGATGGGAACACATGAATTATTTCTTGGAACACGAGGGCTGCAAATGTTATTTGAAAATGATTATGACTCAGAGATTTGAAGCAATTTTTGGTGACAGCTCAAGAAACTAAAACTGAAAGTGACTTATCCCAGACTTAGTCCTCAGAGGTAGTGACGATTTTTCTTCTATAATTATATGCAGTCACGAAACATGTAAAATAAACTTAATAATACAGATGGTGATTGTATTTGAGTCACACAGCACCACTGTACCTGTCACCACCTCAGTGATTTGAATGTTTTCCTTGCTAACACTGTCATCTTCTAGCTTCTTATGTTGAGTGTTTTATGCTATGAAATGTCAACACATAGTATGTGTTTAGAAAGCATTTTCACCCTGTTTTGTGGAAATATGTTAATAATGATGTTGTTAATGATGATAATGATAATTTTAGCTATTTTGTTCAGCATTTTTCAACCCCAAAGGAATATACACAAATGCACATCCTGGCAGCCAGTCCCAAATCTTAGCTCACGACAAATGCTACTTTCTCCAGAGCAACTTAACTCTTCAATGTAACCAGCATCGCTGAACACTGTATCCGGGCTTAGGCCAGCCAGTTCAGAGGATGGTGGGAACATTTCCACCTGTCTGCCTTTGTATATTAAAATAGTTCCTCAGCACATTAAAATATTCCTTAGTCAGAACTTCTAAAGTAACCAATTGTCCCTGATTAAATTGCCCCTCTCATAATACACTCGTTCTGTCCAGCTCCGTATCCTTACTCTAAATTCTGCCTAGATGCTCTAGGATCATACCAGGAATCATTTTGAAGCACTCATTGAAATTTCTTGGACAACAGTTCACTGGGAATCCCCTGAAGGCATCGTGACTGTCCCTCAGCCCCTCCTGGCTTCTCTTCCCTCTGTAGCCAACCTGGACTCAAGTCATAATTCATGTCCAGTTACTAGTTGCACATCTCCCTCCAATTTATTCAGCTGACAAAACTTCAGTCGTGTGAACACGACCCTCCACCATCTCCTTGCCAGAATTTTTATTTGGCTCTTTTTCCAATCTTCCAAGTCACTTTTTGTAGTTACAAATTCCCTCGTAACATTTTCTTAGATCATCTTTTAGTCCTGAGATCACCTTTTATTAGTTGTTTCAAAGTCAGTCTGATCATTTTCACCGCTGAGATCTTTGTGAGCTGTATTTGTTGGTTTTCTTTTCTTGCTGCTTCTAAGTCATAGTGTTTGTGTTTTCATGATGTTTGGTTTGTATTTTCCCTTATGAACCTAATGAGGTTCTTAAGATTCCCTGATGCTGTGCCAGACATTACAGTTGTAGAAATAATTTTTGGTGTGGGATGGAAGTATCTTTTTCCAGAGAGAATTATACTTTGCATCTGCCATGTGGGTGGAGGTATAAACAATCTGAGGGTTCATGAGCCAGAATTTCAGACTTCTGGTGTCCTGAGTCACCTGGAGAACAGATGTACCTCTGTCTTGTGGTTACTACTTGAGTTTGTCATTGCTTATGTTTGGCATATTTGGTCTTTGACTTTATCTCCTGGCCTGTGATGCTGCTTCATGCGTGCTGAGTGGGATCAGCAAATGTCCCCAAGGACAAAAGACCACTGGACTCACCTCCCCAGGCTGTGCCCTCTTCAGTGTCCCAGCCATGTTTTTCCTCACAACCTATGATTTCACTGATTTTTTTAATTGAAACATAATTGATGTACATATCTGTGGGGTACAGTGTTGAATATCAATACTTGTGTGCAATATGTGATGCTCAAATCAGGATAATTACTATATTT